GGGAAGAATGGGAGAAAAATGGAGGGAGGAGGAAGAAGAAAGCCATTGAGCCCAGTGGTGATGTGCTGTTGGCTGGTGCCAGCCTGGCAGTGATCCTGAGTCTGTTGTAGTGACTCGCCCTTGAGGCAATGCGTTTTCCATGTGGACACGTTTGATGAATGTGATTTGGAGATGACTGCAGTGAGAGTTAGGCACACGTGGAAGGGCCATGTGCTGACGCCAGCTTCCTATGGCCTGATGGCCTAGATGCTGTGGGGGTCTTCAGAGAGGACTTGTCACCACTCCCCAGGTCTCTTCTCCCAAGGCCTTACCTGGTGGACTCCAGACATGGTCAGGGTTGGGCCTTTCTCAGCCCACCTCAAAGCATCTGACTCCCAGACCTCTAAGCACAAAACCAGCAGCTAGTGGAGTGAGCCTCATGGTGGTGTGGCCCAGAGCAGCTTTGCAGGGGCAGCTGAAACCAGTGTTGATTCTTGCTTTCACCTAGGAGTGCTTACAGGTGGAGGTATTAAGACTAAGTTGTTTTTGCACAGTTGGGGATTATTTCCACAGTGTCTTTGTGATAAACATTCTTCTTTGATTGTCAGAGTGAATGTCTAAATGAATTTTTTGTTGTTATGTGTTTTTTATTTAAGGCAGCTGGTCAGGATACCCTTTTGGTTCTGGGCCCACTGATTTTCAGTTGTCTGGGGATGACAAAGAAGGTATGGCCAGGAGGTACCTGGCTATCCTGGACGGGAGCTCAGGAGAGAAACTTGGGCTGGACACAGACATGTAGTTGAAACCACAACAGTCGGTATGTGTGATCTTCTAGGGAGAAATATAGAAGAATGTAGAAGATGACCTTAGACAAGTTGAGGTGGAGACTGTGTCAGAAAAGAAAAGAGCAGCCGGAAAATAAGACTAAGAATGAGGGGCCCGAAAGGTGGGGAAGCAACAGGAGAATGCAGTGAGCAGAGGCAAGACAGAGGACAACAAATACGGCCGGGGCCAAGAGCGGCCGGTGAAGGGGCACTGACTTCCTAGTTGGGAAGTTGTCTTAGGGGAAGGAACAGTTACAGGGGAGCAGGAGCAGGGGAGGCAGGTAGGAGAGGGGAATGAGTTTAAGTCGTTCTTTTGCGAGGGAGAAAAGTAGCAGGAGCTGGAGGGGACGGGGTCTGGGAGAGCTGTTTTTTATTGTTATTAATATTAATTGGAGAAGCTTAATGCATGTTAAAATGCTAGCAGGGAGGAGAAATTGGAGAGGAAGAGGTGGAAGGTACAGGGATGACAGAGAGCATCAGAGTAAGGTCTCTGAGAAGGCAGAGGGATGGAATGGGGCAAGAAGAGAGCGAAAGAAGCCCCTCTTTCATTAAAGTCAGAAGGAGGGAGAGGATGCAAGGATGTTTAAGTTTGGTGGCAGGAAGTTCTCCTCTCATAGTGTCTGTTTTTCCCTGATGAGCCTGAGGAACACCGTGGTGACAGGAGGAAGGTCTCAGCAGCACCTGGCAAAGGACTACACAAGCTCTTAGTCCCCTCACGTTCAGTCAGCTCAGCCACGAAGTCAGGGCCAGGGACCGCCTGGGCAAGATGTGGGCCTCAGCGCCCATGGGAAGGGCTGTGCGACAGTCCCTGGGCAGCTCAGTGGCTCACTACAGACACAGAGCTACCAGGGCTGTACTGGGCTCATCTCAAACGCTGGTCTCCCTTCTAGAATCAGCCTTGTCTCCTCTGGTCAATTTTAACTAAATTACACTCAAATAAGTTCCACAGTGTGGACCTTTTTTAGGCATTAGTGACTGGAAGAGTTTTGTTCTATTACTTCACATTTTCCTAAACCCACTTAACACAGATGGAATCTCTTGTAATCCTGTAAGGCCAAACACAGAAGAGGAACTGTGCCAAAGCGGTAAGGCCCAGTACTTGTTTTAGCACAGATAGAATGGTCTTATTTCTTTTGATGCTGATAAATCTTCTGCGCTGAATTTGGGGGGTCTTCACACTGAGGAGTGCTCATGCTTCATTCATTCAACAGAGGCTGCTTGAGCATCCGCTGTCAGCCAGGCCCTGTGCCCCGCATGTCACCTCCGTTGTCAGGCTCTGCCTTCTTCAGTCTCCATCACCATTCTGTGGGGTTAGCTACAGCATCTTCCTATTTAGTACTGGAGGACCTGATGCCAAGAGAGGTGATTTGTCTGGAGTTTCCCAGGAAATAAGTGACAAGATCTGGGATTCAGAGTGAGATATTTGGCTCAAAATCCTTTACTCCTTCCATTTTATCAAAGTACTTCTCAAACATAATGTTTTACTCTGCTGATGTGTTAATTTTAATTAATTTAATTAATTTTAAATGTTACATGCATTCCAGTGCAAAAGGTTCCTTAGGAAATTGTCAAAACCCAATAACTCCACAAAGAGTTTTTGGATTAGGGTCTTAGAAATGTTCAAACCAAGTAAATTTAGGGAAGATGTATTAAGTACCAACTTTGATTCTTGCCTGCATAGTATCAGCAAAATGAAAGAGAAATAATAATAGATTTTGTTAATAATTCAAGACAGTAAAGAGTATGGTGTGGGAAAAAGAAGACGTTTGGCATTCAAGCTGAGTCTGAATACCGCCTTGTTGCTTAACAGCAGGGAGGTTGCTTAACCTCCCTGGGAAGAGGAAGGCAGGTGACCTTTATCAAGTACCTGTCACATGCTAGGTGCTTTGCATGTCTTAATCTCATTTAATTGTTATAGTGAGCTTCACAGATAAGTATAGTATCATTCCCACTTTAAGATGAGAAACTAGAAGTTCTGAGAAGATAAGTATCGTGCAGCTGGTGTATGGCCAGCCAGTATCTGACCCTGGGATCCCCTCTTCTCCCTTTCCGGGTGTTGTCTGAAGTTATTACAGTGTGGAAATAAGACCACAGAGTCTGAATTAAATTCATGCATGCACATGCTTGCGTGCATGCGTGCGTGCAAACACACACACACGACTTCTGCTATTTATTCAAACATTTAGGAAAAATACAAAGGGAGCAGTTATCAGCTAGAAATTGGGCAACAACCATGCCTCAGTCCTGAAACATCAGTTTTATGAGTAGGGTTTTATATTTTATTATAAAACCTATACTTTTCCAGGACCGGCTTTGTGATCCACTGGGGAGAAAGGCCTTTGTCTTCACAAACAAACTTTAAAAGGGCAATAATAACATATATTTGCAAAGTGATTCAAGTATGTGTTTTAAAGAGAGGGAGATAGTACATGTAACTGAGGTAGGTCAAACATACATTTGAAACCAAACATAGGCCGGGTGCAGTGGCTCATGCCCATAATCCCAGCCCTTTTGGAGGCCGAAGCAAGAGGATCGCTTAAGGCCAGGAATTTGAGACCAGCCTGGGCAACACAGTGAGACCCCCATCTCTACAAAAATAAAAATTAGAAAAAGAAACCAAGTGCGAATATATGTCATCAGAACTAGGAGAATCATAGTAAACAGCTGGAACTTCTACAACTTAAAGAGATTCATCTCTGCTTTTGAAAAGAAGTAGAGTCACAATATTCATCTAAGAGAAAGAAACCTCTTTATTAAAATGGGTGTGGCGAGAATTACATGAGATGACATAGGTGAGGTGCCCTGTCCAGCGCCTGCTGTGTGGGGGAATTCTTGCTAAATGGTAGCACCAGTGAATTCTGTTGTCATTGCTATTAACTTGAGTCTAAGTTGTGAGGGTGTGAAGGACATGGCAGGCTCCAGGTTATTTGTGTTCTCTTGTGTGGGTGACCTTAAGGACAGAAGTGAGGCACCAGGAGGAGGCGTCTCGGCCCCTGGCTGGTTCCTCTGTGTTCCCATGTCCCAGGGCATTCATCTGGTTACTAGGAGCTGCTGTTACCTTTAGCCAGGCTCCCACCAAGCCCCTTTCTATGGCTGATTGTCAGGTCCTAAGGTGTGTTTGACAGGCGTGGACCTTCAGAAGTGACTGCTGGCAGCCAGTTTTGTCCTGGGCTGTTCCTACTGCTCCCCTCCCTGCTTTCCTAGGAGACCCCTGATCTATACCTATTGCAGCTGCTGGGCAGCTGCCTCTCACTAAAGATCTTACAAAAACTCTAGGTAAATGGCAAAAAACCAGTGCTATTAGTAATACTGAGGCCTGGTAGGATTTAAAAGGCGGTCTTGTAACTTACAGGTGGAGAACTTCAGAATCTGCAGCCTTTGCTACCTTTCCTCCAATCTCTGTCAGGGCTCCACAAGGCACACACTGAGAATGCTGGGCATTTGGATGATGGCTTCTCCTTGGTCCTTTTTTTGTAGCACCAAGTAATCCCATTAGATTGCTCCTATTGTGTGCAGCTTTCATCCCTTGGCTAAGAGCCAGACTTACTGATAAATAAAATCTAGATAATTCAATTCCTCAAATTATAATGCTAAACCTAGCAGAAAAAAAGAGACAAGGCCCCCGAACAAGATATTAAAGGGGACCTTTCCTTCTGCATGCTTTTGGTTATATGAGGGATTGGAGGGGCCAACTACAGGACAGAATCTGAGGTCATACCAGAAGCTTCTTTGATTGCAGTGGGCTTGGACTGGGACTTTCCTCACACCAGGAATGTATGATGTCATGTGGCCAGTGAAATCTGAGATATTTAAATGAAGCCCTGGCATCACAACCATGCGGGGTTGAGTTCTGCTGGTTAAAACATTTCTGTGCCCCCTCAGACAATTTGCATTGTAAGAAGGACTTCTGGTCTTAGAGAAGCTGGCAGAGTGGCAATGGATTTCTTTTGGCACAGAAATCCTAGGAAACATGGCCAGAGTTGTGGAGAAAAGTATTCCACTTATCCTCACTTCCGGTAGTCCCAGGCTGCACCGTCACCTACAAACCCAGCCCTCCTCTCCCTCCTGGTGAAGATGGGAACAGCCAAGGTGTCAGCTCCTTCCCACCTTCATGCATGCTCATGTTCCCATTTGATGCCCCTGGTGTTTTTGCATCCCAACTAGAATCACTGTTGAAATTCATTCTGTGCTTCCTAGGAACTAGCCAGCTGTGGATGGAGTAAGAAGGAGAAACACAGTCTTGCCCCTAACGTTGTGGCCTTTACCCGGAGGTTTAACCAGGTAAGCAACACCCTTTGCATGTGCCTATCCAGAGAGTAATCTGCTACTGTCCCCTATAGGCTGCGAAACCCCCCAAGGCTGTCTTCCAGGCACCTGGCCCCAGATCCACCTTCTCTTCCTGAGTCCCCTACCTTTATCCAGTTTTGTGCCATTGTAGTCTGTTTGCACAGAGCAGGTGGAACTGAACATACCTTTCCTATGCTTAAATCACTTCAGTGACTTCCAGTTTCAGTTAAGCTAAGGTTCAAGTACCTTAATATGCTTTGCAGGGTTTGGCATGGTGGATCTCGTTTCCGTCCACCCCTTCAGCCTCATCTCTTTTCCATCCTCCTGGCCTTTCTTTTCTTACCTGATATATCTTATCTCTGTCCTGTCAGGCCCCCTGTGTGCAGTCTTCACAGCCCAGAATCCTTCCTCCCTGTTCAGCTTCCTTCCTCCCTGTTCAGCTTCCAATCAGATCTCAGCCTGAATATCATTTCTTTGGAGAGTCTTCCCTGAATCCCCAGACCGTATGAGGTCACACATCCCCACGTTGTACCCTGTACTCCATGTGGTCCTTTATTAGTTTGTCCTCATGTTGTATCACTCTGTAGTCTCCACCTTCCTTGCCGGCCTGGGAGCCCCATGAGCATGTCTATCTTGTCCATTACCCACCACCTTGCCCAACGTCAGGTCTATCATAGACCCTCATTAACTATGTATGGAACGAATATATGAGGTGCTCAGGAAGTACTTTTAAATTGAGTTTTCTTGAATTCCTGATGGCCTGATCCCTGGCCCTGCGCTACTTTAAACTGACTTGGTCCGACCAGAACCTGTGCTCCAGGGATGAAGATCTGGAATGATGATTGGAGACTTGGATCAACTGAGGGAGGTAGGGTGTCTTATTTCTCAGCCAGACCTGCATGATCCTCAGGAGAAGGCACACAAACCAAAGCCCCAAATTGTACTGTTGACAGATTTCCTTCCTTCTTATTTTTCTGGTTTCAAATGAGGCCAGTGGCCTAGAGGTTGCTAGTATGTATGACTGGCCCTCTGGGTGATGGGGCCTGGATTCCCTTTGGGCCCTCTCTCCAGCTGGGCCTTCTCTCTCAGAAATGCTTGATCTTGTGCATCACTGTTGCTCAATCCTCTCCAGGCTTCTCCACCCTTGACCTTCCACCGCAAGGCCAGCGGGATCCTCAGAGAGGCACCAGCTTGTAGTTTGAAGATTGAGGCTGGAATTAGCATTATTATTATTTGATGAGATATAGTAGGAACCAAGAAAGACCTAGGTGCATCTGGAGTAGGAGCTGCACACTGTTTGTTTTGAAAAGAGAATTTCCAAAGTCTTATGCTTCTTTTTTCTTTGTTTTGAAAAATCGTCTCTTTTCAACTGAGCTTAGTCTTTAAAAAAAAAAAAAAAAGTGTGAGAATTTTGTCAGGGGATTCATAGTTTCCTTAAAACTATTTGACTGGGAGCCAACTCAGTCCCTACCTCTGACCGGCCACAGAGCTCCCAGAGGAGGGGCAGCTGGGGGCTCTGATGTAATCTGCTTTGCACGCGGATGCCAGGTCAACTTGGCAAAGGCGGTGTAGCTTGTTCTGTGAACAATTGTGTTGTGTCCAGCTCAGACCAAGTGATGAAATGAGCCAGAAGCAAAGTCACATTTTTTTTCAAACAATGCTCTGGGAAATGGTCTTCCTGCTGGCCCATCAGCCAGTCAGAGAGCCAGCAGCTCCTGGACATAGCCCTGGTAGCTCTGGTTTGAAAACTGGCCAGAGGCCAGGCCTGGTCAGCCACTGGGGCTGCCTTCTTTGGGATGAACTTGTTGGCGTCCCTTCCTTGCAAAGCTTTTATGTGTACGAACAAGACTCATTAGACTCCAAATAAAAGAAAGCAGGTCACTTACCTGTCTGAGCCCCAGCTTTCTTTTCTGTAACTGAGAATAATAGTAGTGCTCTCCTTGCACAGTTGTTATGAAGAATAAATGGAATATGAAGAGCTTTAGCACAATGTCTGGCACGTAGTAAGCATCCAACTGTTTTGGGAGAAGAAAAGAGAAATATTAACATCAGCTGATTGGGAGGAGGTTGCCAGGGGATTTGAGGCTTCTTGTGGCCAAACAGAAACCCGGTGGCTAGTGCTTGCCTGCTTCTCCATGGGGTCTGAGTCCCTTGGGATTTGCTCATAGAATGGTGGAGATGGAAGAGTTTGGCCAAGTTCACTAAAGGTCTTTTATGAGCCAGGCCTATGTCACAGCCCCAAGGAATACACCGTGTAGCACAGAAGTTCTCAATCTTTTTTGGGTCTTGGGTTCTTTTGAGAATCTGACAGTATCACATATGAATGTTCCCCCAGAAAACTGCACAGATATACAAATTTGCATTTAATTTTAGGGTGTTCACTGCCTTCCTGAAGTTTATGTGTGGACATTTATGGGTCTGCGGACAATAGGCTGAGAATCTGTGTCTCAGGGAATCCAGCAGGCCTGGGTGTGAGTCTTATCGCGACAACTCAGTAGCCGTATGATCTTGGGTTGGCTTTTGGCCTCTCTCAGCCTCATAGGCCTCATTTATAAAACAGGAAGAATCATTTCAAGTGGTTTTTGAAGACTAAACAAGAATCATGAATATAAATGGGTTAGCCCAGTACTTGACACTTAGTAAACATTCCACGTAAGGTTAAACAAAGGGGCAGAGTAGTGGGAGCTATGAGCTGAAAGGAAGGTTAAGACCAGACCAGCAGGCTTGGGCCTAAGTGCAAGGTTGGGCTTGTATCACAAAGATGCTGAAATTTTTGGAAAAGGTGAAGAGGGAATTGGGAGAAACGTGGTTCTAGTCTAGGCTGTGCTGCTAACTTGCTTTAAGGCCCCTCCTCTCTTTGGGTCTCAGGACCTTTTTATATTCATGGAGATTGGACAGGGCCAAATGTTCCCAACTTTTCTCATGGACACATTTTATAGTTCCTAATGACTGAAACCCCAGCTCAAACTCAGGTAAGCACAAAAGAGAGCTTCATGGCTTATATATAATAACTAAGTCTAGGGAGATACTGACTTCAAATATTGCTGAATCTAGGCAGCAGGGACAGTACTATCTGAACTCGGTCTTGCTCTCTCCACCTCCAGGTTCTGCTTTCCTCTGAGCTGGTTCCACCTCAGGTAGCCTCCCCCTGTGGTTGCAGGATGGCTATCAACAATTCCAGGCTTGTATCGTATTCCAAGGGCAACCTCAGGAGAAAAGACCTGCTGCTTTTTCAGTAGCTCTATCTGATGCCCTGGAATTGAGACTCAGTGGCTCAGATTGCCCTGGCTTGTGACCCTTCTTGTTTGTTATGATCTAATCACTCTGACCAGGAAGACATGAAGCTCTCATTGGCCAGGTCTTGGAAACAGGCCTTCCTATGGAGGAGAGGTGGTAGGCCTAGACCACATGGACTGAGAATGGAGAAGGGGTATTTCCTCAAGGAAAATCAGGGAGTTCTGGAAGGAAGAAGCTAAGAATGAGGGCCAGAAAGGAAGGCAGTTAGTTATCACAGACCTTCTTTTCTCTTGTACTCTTCCAGTCTGCTCTGAGCTTTCTGCCCAATCCATTCTGTTGATACCTTGTCACTCTCAAGTCCTGTCTGCCCTCTGAACTCCCAGGCTCACGAGCCTACTCACTGAATGTTTCTGCTTCCTCTTGGCTTTAATCAAAACTATTTTTAAAACATGTATTGAGCACTTATGCTAAACTTATTGAGTCAGATACTATGCTAAGCATTTTACCCGTGCTATCATACATGCTATTTTACAGTTATTTCATGGATAAAGAAACAGAGGCTCTGCAAAGTGAAACAACTTGCTCAAATTTACATAGCTGGTGAATTCATCTGCTTAAGGGGCCTTCTGGTTTTTTTCTGAACACTTTTCTAATAGAACCTTCTGCTTTTCCAAACCTAATTTATCACAGGACTGGGAGACAATGTTACCTTTCTCCTGCCTTCCGAATACTATCTCTAAACAGTTATTATTTCCTCATTGTGTAATGCTCCCTTTTATGTGACTCTCATTACTCTAGTTATATTCATTTGTTTATTCAGTAGTCATTGACTGGATATGTATTAGGCTCTGTGCTGGTTCAGGGGGTCAACAATAAACAAGTTGTCGCCCTTGCCATTGTCAGCTCATAGTCGAGTGTAGGAGGTAAACATGATGGAAGCGATTCCAGTCCAGGGGATTCCGTGCTAGGATGGGGAAACCAGAGGAGAGGCATGTGCAGGAGCAAGGGAGGCCAGAGTGGGGTCTGTTCCTTCAATCTGTGTAAGGGATTGGAGATGTAAACTGGCTGGGCACAAGAAAATATTAGAAGACAAAATGACAGCTCCTGACGATTGATTGGATCTGGAGGGAAATGACAGAGAAGAGTAAAAGAGGGTCCTCTTTGGGTATTTGGGCAGTCCCATCCTTGAGACAATGAACACAAAGGAGGAGCAGTTTTGAGAGTTAGGGATGAGTTAGGTTTGGACATGTGGAATGAAGCATGCAGGAGGTCATTGGATATTTGAGTCTGGAAGTCGGGGAAAGGTCCAGCCTGGAGATGCAAATGTTGGAGTCATCTGCATTTGAAGGCCCAGGGTCAGTGAAATCATCCAAGGAGAAACAGCGGCCCAAGTGAGTACCTGAGGATTGCTGACATTTAAGGGATGGGCAGAGGAGAGGAGGCCGCACAGAAGGCAGAGAGAGAGCATCCTGGGAGCAGAACACTTGGTGATATGGAAAGGGCAGTATCTGGAAATCAGTGTTTCAGAAATGAGGGAATGCTACAGAATGAGTCACCCAAGACAGGGCTAAAAAAGAGTCCTTTGAATTTAGCAGCAAGGGCAGTTTTGCAGGGATGTAGCAGGTTGAGTGGTAGATGTGAGGCAACGAAGAGAGCAGGTGTAAGTGTTTCTTACAACACTGGCTCCAAGGGGAGTTGAGAAGGGAGTGGCTGGAGAGTGGAGTCAAAGAAGTCCTGGGAGGTGGTTGCATGTTTTT